CATTCTTATTTATTAGGTATTATATTCTGTACTCTTTGTCTATCCCTTTTTATTACCTCTGGTGACAGCTATTTAACCTTAGGAACACTTCCTTCTATAGCAGTCCCTCCAAATTACACTGTAGAGATGGTTTGTGGGAGCTAAATGCTCTCAGCTTTTGCTTATCTGGAAATTGTTTAATCCCTCCTTCAAATTTAAATGATAACCCTGCCAGATAAAGTAATCTTGGTTTGAGGCCCTTCTGCTTCATTGCATTAAATACATCATGCCACTCCTTTCTGGCCTGTAAGGTTTCTGCTGAGAAGTCTGATGATAGCCTGATGGGTTTTCCTTTGTATGTGATCTTATTTCTCTCTCTGGCTGCTTTTAATAGTCTGTCCTTATCCTTGATCTTTGCCATTTTAATTACTATATGTCTTGGTGTTGTCTTCCTTGGGTCCCTTGTGTTGGGAGATCCGTGCACCTCCATGGCCTGAGAGACTATCTCCTTTCCCAGATTGGGGAAGTTTTCAGCAATTACTTCCTCAAAGACACTTTCTATCCCTTTTTCTCTCTTCTTCTTCTTCTGGTACTCCTATAATATGAATATTGTTCCATTTGGATTGGTCACACAGTTCTCTCAGTATTCTTTCATTCTGAGAGATCCTTTTTTCTCTCTGTGCCTCAGCTTCTTTGTATTCCTCTTCCCTAGTTTCTATTTCATTATTGTCTCCTCTACTGTATCTAATCTGCTTTTAATACCCTCCATTGTGGTCCTCAATGATTGGGTCTCCATACTAAATTCGTTCCTGAGTTCTTGAATATTTTTGTGTACCTCCATGAGCATATTTATGATTTTTATTTTGAAATCTCTTTCAGGAAGATTTATTAATTCGGTCTCACTCAGTCCTTTTTCTGGTGTTGAGATTTTGCTTTGGACCAGGTTCCTTTGACATTTCATATTTGTATGTGGTGCCTTCTAGCACCCAGAAGTTCTACTCCCTGGAGCTGCTCAGCCCCTGGAGTGATGTCGGGGTTGCAGGGTAGTGGTGCTGGTGCCTGCGGGGGAGGAAAGAGCTGTTTCCTGCTTCCCGGCTGCTATGCCTGTCTCCAGTGCCAGAACCAGTGGGCTGAACACACAGGTGTAAGCTTCTATGCTTTATGTTTGTAGCTGCCATAGGCAGGGTTTCCCTATTGCTGGCCTGATGCCAGGGCAGGGGCTGCCGGTTTGTGAGCCAGGTAGAAGACACAGCAGGCTGCATATCATGGTGGGGGGGCTTTGGAACTGCGTAGCCAGCCAGGGGGATAGAGCACCTGAAGGTCGTTTTTAAGTTCCCAACCTGCTGGGCAGAGTGCACCTGGACAGTTTTGTCTACCTGTCCTTTCTCCTGAGCAGTAAGCTCTGTGAAATCCTTGCTCCATTAGCAGCCCTCTCGCTGTTAGGAAGTCTCTCAGACTGCCCACCCACATCAGCCAGATATGAATTCCTGTTTTCCACAAGCAGCTGGAATCTCCGTCTCTCCAGGTATTCCGCCTGTCTTAGCTTTCCAACCCCACTCACCAGAGCACCATGCAATGTAGGTTCCTGCTCTCAGAGCAGATCTCCAGGGCTAGGTGTTCAGCAGTCCCAGGCCTCCACTCCCTCCCCGCTCTGTTTCTCTTCCTCCCGCCTGGTGAGCTGCAGTGGGGGAAGGGCTTGGTTCCTGCTGGGTCACAGCTTTGGTATGTTACCCTGTTCCATGAGGTCTGCTCTTTTCTCCAGGTATATGCAGTCTAGTGCAGTCTTCTTTCCTGTTGCTCTTTCAGGATTAGTTGTACTAATTATATTTTCATATTATGTGGTTTTAGGAGGAGGTCTCTGTCTCACCTCCCAAGCTGCCATCTTTAATCCAATGTCCATCCCCTAGGTTTTAATGTACATGTGCTGCCCCTCCTGGCTGGAAATCAGTAGATAGTATCGCCTGTGGCCAGGGCAGGTTTGGGGTGGGTTTTCCATTCTCCCCCTGAAATCTCACAGGCCCGGCTCTTTGTCGGGGTGGGTGGGGACTCTGCATGCTTATGCATACCTGTGTGGTAGTTATCCTGAGGGTTTGAGTGGTCCCAAACTTCACTTTGAACTTGGGGATCCAATAAAGTGCCCTGGGGGCTGCTATAGGTGGTGCAGGACATTCCTGAGTGCAGGGGTGCTCCCTTCCAGACCTCTCTGCAGTTCTTGCAGGTCCTCCTCTGTTTTATATGCTGCCTTCAGCATGTGCTCTCCTTGGAAGAGGGTTTCATGTTTCAAGAGGGTTTGTATGAAATTCACTTTAAGTCCACTCCTTCCCTGTCCCTGAGATGGGTGTCTGGTGTCGCTTGCACACACCCCGGGATGGTGGCCTCAGTCCTATACTTCCACTGGTTCTGTGAGAAAATCATTGTTACCAGGAAGGAATTCCTGTCAGAATGGGGTCAGCCTCCCCAGCTGGTTTGGCTTCCAGTGGAGGCAGCCCTTGTCCACCCCCAACCCCCTGCCCGGCCAGACCTTCATGGTCAGTTCCTCTTTGCTCTCCTTCCAGCCTGGCAGCACACAAGCCCAGCTGGAATCAAGGCCCTGGCCTCCATGTGGGGTGATTACTGTTGAGAGGGCCCGTAGCAGCCCTGGTTGGATGGAAGGAGGGGAAGGAGGAATAGAAAACAGACACGATAGAGAAACTTCTTAATTTCATAAACATATGTTTTTCTTTTGCAATGAAAAAATTTGTACATTAGAAAAATAAGTAAGAGTATAACTGGGTCTCCTGGGAGAAGGACAAGATGGCTCCTTAACCCTGGATTGTGATCCTCTCCCTCTTCCCAGGTTGGGGCACCACTCTGAGGAGGCCCATCCTGCTATCATCCCTTCCACCTGCTCTGGGGACCTGGTGTGTTACATGTGGGGGGTTGTCACCCGGCAGGGGTGGCCATAGCACCATCACACAGATACCAAAGAAGTTCAGTTCATAGCTTTGCTGGCTGCTGACCTCCTGGCTCCACCTCAGAGCTCGGGCCTCTCCGCACAGTGGACTCATGGGAGCAAGAAAGTAATTGGCCAGCCCAGGCCACAGGCTCACAGCCAGGCAAGCATATTTACACCAAGGCACTTGCTGAACCTCCAGCCCCTCCAGGGCTCTCTGGGTAGGGGAGGGGGACAAGCAGGCCAGCGCCTTCACCCCTCACTCGGGCAGCCCGTTCATGCCCAGCTGCTCCTTGAGGGCCTGCAGCTGCGCCAAGCTGATGTTGCTGCCCCCGCAGACAATGACCACGAGGGAGGACAGCGGGGTGCGGAGCTTCCCCTCTCCCTGCAGCTTCGGAACCACATGGCTGTAGACGGCGGCCAGGGCTGCCCCACAGGCAGGCTCTACCAGGATCTTCTCATCATCTGCCAGAGGAGGGGGCTGATGAGGGTGGGTTCTGAGCTCTTCAGGGTGCAAGGGAACTATTGGGCCATTGGTAAGCTTGTATATAATGAACCAAGCCAACCAGCCCTGATTACAGAGTCAAGTCCTGGACCAAACCTCCTAGACAGCACCCTAGATTGGCCTTCCAAGCCCTGAGTCAGGGCTAGGTTTCATCATGAGTGCTAACACTGATAAAATGACTAATTCACTGAGCACTGTGTTATGAAGGATTCTGAGGCATCATCTGGGCAAGAGTGCCATGGCTGATGAGCCAGACTGCTGGGACAGGACAATTAAGTGGCAGCATAAGTGCTGTGTGTGTGTGTGTGTTTGCTACTCCTATCCTAAGCTGAACCCAGAAGGAGTCCAACCTTGTTTCAGACTCAGTTCGGAACTCAATGCTGAGGATCATATGTTCCTTTTTTTTTTTTTTTTACCTTGGCTACCAGGAAGCTCAGAGCCAATATTTAAAATACTCAGTTAATTTTCCATGCTGTCATGGTTATCAGGCTTATTTCTTCATTTGTGGCTTTGGCCTTTCTATTTCTACCTCTGCATTGTATTCTCTTTCATAAATGGGAAGTTATAGGAAGGGATGGGAGATGGAACTGTGAGGAAAATTTGCAGTGAATGGAATCCCTTGGCAGACCAAATGGACAGGCACTTAGTTCCTGAACCAGCAGGTTGGGTGTTGAAAGGACTTGGCACATACCCACAAACTTCTCAGTGGCGGCCACAGCCTCCTGGTCTGAAACAACTTCAGAGAAAATGGGGTGTTCCCGAAACAGCTTCATGGTCTGAGCCGCCACGGTCTTCACACACAGGGCCTTGGCAACACTGGGGAAGGGGGATGGAGAAGAGGGTGGGAGTGGGGGAAACGGACAGGGGAGAGGCGGGAGGCAGCGATCCATGAGAGGGAGGAGGGCCCTGGGTCCCCGGCCAGGCACGGGGCTCTGCAGCTGTACTGCACTGAAAGTCCCAGTGCTCCCCCAGAAGAGTGGGGGCTTCTCATAAGGCACAGATTATGCAAATGGGGGTAACCAGCATCATTTTCTGTTCAACATCATCTCAGGAAGGCCTCCTTGCAGCCCCTGAAAGGACTTGCAGCCTTTGTTCCAAGTTGTCACCTCCACCTGCTTAACCCTTTCTTAGCTGAGCAGTAGTGCTCTGCCTGCCCAAATCTGCCCCTTCTTGCAAGACTCAAGATTAAGGCCACCTCCTCCAGCCGTCCTCCAGGGAGAGCACTCAGTCCTGTGGCCCCAAGTGGAATTCGCAAGTGATCCTCCCCATAGCATGCACCTAGTGACTACTTCTTGAGAAAGTATTAGGTGCCAAGCACTTCAGGAGCATTATTTCTCACAATTTTTGCCGCTAAGTGGCTGGATTTTATAGCAGGGAAAACTGAGGCAGAAAGTGTGTGGTCGCTTGCCCGAGGTCACATACCTAGGGAGTGGCTGTGCCGGCATTACAAGCAGAATCTGTGTAACACCAGGACCTGTGCTGGGAATCAACGTGTTGACTTTGTCCCCAGCCTTCTGGGCTCATCTCCACCACTTGCTCCTAAGTGTCTTGGGTCCTGGACCACCTCAGCCTTTAGCCCAGCATGGGGCTCATAGTAGGTGCTCAGCAACTATTTCTTCAATCCCAATAGTGTGGGATCAGAGGCCAATAAGATAACTCTGCAGTGCTAGGCTCAGGAATCCAGAAGTTCTTACCTGGACCTGGTCTTCCCTGTCCGTGGAGAGAATTGTCTACCCAACATCTACTACAGCTACACACCGGGATGCCTGGATTTCTCAGCCTCCCTTGCAGTAGAGGTGGCCATGTTGCCTAGGTTCTGGCCAATGACAGGTAAGTGGAAACACCGTACATGTCTTTATGGAGAGGGGCATAGCTTCTGACCTTGTTTCTTCCTCTTGCCAGATGGAGTGTAGGTGTGATACTTGGCACTTAAGCAGCTATTTGGGGCCATAAGGCTACATCATAAGGATGATGAACAAATTCAAGGAAACTGGGCCCCTGCTTCATGCAGCTGCCCCTGGACTGTACCTGTGGACTTTATTTTTTTTTTAATGTAAGAGAGGAAATAAAGTTCAACCTTGTTTAAGTCACTGTTATTTTGGGCTCCCTTATAGTGTGGCCAAACCTGATCCTAATTAAACACCATCTGTCAAAGGTTTGGGGCTGAGATATGAACTCCTGGGGAGCAGGACCTGTGTTTATTCACTCCCAGGATCAGACAGTATCTTGCCCATATTTGGGGTTCAGTAAATGGTTGGCAAATTAATGAGGTGTGTAAAACCCTGCCACGGAAGAACTCAGCAAATGATTAGTATTACATGTTTCGTGTGAGGAGGTGTGACATCCATGGTACAGTCACACAGCCTTGGGTTCAGCCCCAGCAGTACCACTCAGTGGATGTGTGACCCTGGGCAAGTGTCCAAAGCCTCAGTTTCATCACCTGTAAAACAGGACATACTGGGATCTACCTTTAAGTCAGTTCCTGGTGGGGGGCTCCCGAAGGCCTGCTGAACACCCCACAGGGCATCCCTGGCTGCTCACCTGGTAGTCTGGGGCAGGGAGACGAGTTTGCCGGCAATGGTGGAAACGTGGAAGCTGTGGGCTCCCATGGTCTCCATGGCGATGACAGGCACGTCCCCCCAGCCCACCTCCTGCAGCCCCTGGACCACTCCGCACAACAGGCCCCCACCGCCCACCGACAGTGCGATGGCCCCCGGCTTTTCACTCAGCGTCTCCTGAAGCTCTTTCACGATGGAAGTGTGGCCTTCCCTGGAGGGTGAGGCAGAGGGTGGCTGGTCAGGGCTGGGCTCCCTGGAGACCCCAGGCAGGGGTCTTGGAGCTCCCACTTGCCCTCTGCACTTGTCCTCATCCCAGCAACTGTTGGGCTTGGGCTAGTCCTCTGCTTCCCAGCTGCATCCTGATCCCAGCCACCAGCATCTGCATCTGTTCTCTGGCCACTAGAGCTGCCTCCCGATGTGGCAACTGGCAGTGCCAACTGACACCCCCTGTGAGCTGCCCTCCACCAGTGACTGGGAGCTAAGGACTGTGGGAGTTGGTGTATAAACTCACTAGCATCCTCTCCCATAGGTGCGGAACTCTGGTTCGTGTTCCATGCCAGTTCCCAGGGGCCCCCAAGAGATCGAGCTCCAGCTGCCCACAGTGGTCACCTGCCCATTAGAGCCCGTTATTGGCTTCCTTCCTTCCTCGGCTCACTTTCTCTCTCCTCTAATGAGTCACCTGCCAGGCAAGCTGCTTTCCCAGAAATATTTTGTCATGGGGTCTGCTTCCTGGGGGCCCCAGGTGCAGACACCAGTGTGTCTGAGCTCGTGTTTGCTCACAGCCATGGAGAATGGATGTTGGTGCACATGTGCGTGCACGTGCTGTCACACCTGTGTGTGCTTCTCCATGACGGTGGGCACACACACATGTACCACTTCTGTGCACAATGGGGTGACCATGTGTATTGTGGCTGGGGCTCTTCCAGTGGTGTAGGGGTGGATGCCACTCACACCAGGTGACACTGGGCTCCACATACCAGATGAGGGGGTCGTCAAAGGGAGGGATGTAGACCCAGCCTGGGTTGTTCTTTGCCAGGGCCTTGGCCAGTTCGAAGGCCTCATCCAACATCTGCAAGACCATAGGGAGGCAGGAGGGTGTGAGGGGCCGGGAGACCCTGCCCTCCCACGGTGCCCTCTGTGGCCCTGACCCAGGGTAGTACTCACCTCACCAACCACCCTGACCATGGCACCCTCATTCTTAAGCCGCTTGATGGTGAGGGCGGGTGTGGTATTAGGCACGACGATGGTGGCGGGGATGCCCAGCTTCCTGGCAGCATAGGCGGCCGCCATGCCTGCGTTGCCAGCTGCCGGGGTTGGGGGTGGAAAGTACGTCAGTGCGGGGAGGGCCTGGGAGCCCATCCCAGACTGCTCACCCCGACCCGGGGACTCCGAGTCCCCCTGGGGGACTGCTCGCCTCCCTCTGCAATTCCCAGCAGGGGCAGCCACAGAGGTTTGCAATGGCTCATCGCTGGGAAAAGCAGGGCCCAGAGAGGAGGAGCACCTGCTCTGGGACACAGGGCAGAGGATGGGAGGAGGCGTGCAGGCCACTTACCTGAGGAGCAAACGAAATGTTCACAGCCTCGCTCAGCCCACTATGGAGACAAGTTGGGAGAGGGTCAGTCCCACCTCCCAGTCTTCCTCTGAGTTCTTCCCTCCCACTGGAATATCTTCCCCAAATTCCAGCTTACACGGACCCCTCCTTCCTTTACAGGGAATTGGTACTGCCCCAGCCTCTCAGATGATATCTTCCTCCCCAGAGACTAGTTCAGGAAAGGGCAGAGGAGGCAGGCACCCGACGGCCCTGCCACCAGCCCGTGAGGGAGCTCTGTTGGATGGTCATACCTTATCTAGCAGAGGTACCAGTGGTGGACACCCAGCGCTTGTGGGGAGTCAGGGTCTAGCTGGGAACTCCAGGGATTTCACACAGCACTGCCCCACCACCTTGCCCAGGGGACACGGAGCCCATCCTGTACCCTCTGGCAGAGGTGTCCGATGCCCCGGATCTTGAAGGAGCCTGAGGGTTGGGCGCTGTCTATCTTGAGGTAGACGCTGGTGCCCGCCACTTTGGACAGGGTCATGCTGTCCCGGACGGGAGTCTTCATATGCAGAGGTTTTCCAGACGTCATTGCTGGGAGAAAGGAAGGAAACACAGAGGGTCAGGACAGCTGGCCCTGGTGCCTCCACTGCCATGTGGCAGGCAGTGGGCCTGCAGGCGACCCCTTCCTTCCTTCACTTCCCAAGGGCCTGGTTAAGTGGATAAAGCAGGGGGAGGACATTAGGTATAGCCTCCCTATGCAAAAATGTGGACACATACCAACACACACATACACACAATCCATATGCTTCCATGTGCACAGAACATTCCAGGAAACATCGAGGAAAGTGGTCAGGGTGAGGGGCCTCTGGGGAGAGCTGTGCCCAGTTAGGGAAAACTTTTCATTATTAAAGAAAATCTAATCATTATTATATTATTTAACAAGCACTTATAAAATGAATACCATGCGCTAGGCACTGCTTTAAGTTTTACAGATATTAATTCACTTTGCCCTCTTAGGAATCCTAGGAGGTACCATTTTTACCCCATTCTCCTCATGAGAAAACGGGCTCAGATTGTGTTTTCTGGGATGGCCATCCGGAGCCGTTCCCATCCCCCACGCACTGAGAGGCGGGGCCTGGGGCTGCAGCGGAAGTGACGCAAACTTCCAAGCCTGGGTGCGCTGGTGAATGTTTAACTATGGGCTCTCCAAAGAAAAGGAAAGCCCTCATTTGTAGTGTGTGTACTTCCGTGAGGTACCTGCCCTCACCGAGGCCAATTTCAAGCTACCAGCATGATATCATTGAATGTGGCACTGGGAAGGGAAGGGCACAATTGTTCTTGAGGGCCTGTGTGAGCTGGCCGCAGCGCAGCCCAGCTCCCAGAGCTGGGACTTGGGGGGGGACACAGACTCCCTCTGGCTGTCTCTCTTGAGAAGCACCCTCCCAAACCCAGCTGGCACGATGGAGTACGCACAGGTGTGCACGGGAGGCCACATGTAGGTGACTCACCTGACAACCGATGGCAGAGGTCAAGTGCTGGACGTGGGACATGACTGTGAGGTGACTCCAGCCAGCTGTTGTCACACTACAGCCATATGTGACACCCCTGTGCGGGCTGCTTGGTGGGGCCCAGTCAAACCCAGAACCATGGCAGATAACAATAAAATGACTGCTGTTGTTTCAAGTCACTCCATCTTAGGGTAGTTTGTTACACAGCAGTAGGGACTGGGATATTCATGCGACTTGCCCAAGGTCACACAGCTAGTGCCTGGGGAAGGCAGGGTTAGAATCCAGGCTTTCTCTAGGACACATGAGCATGGCTCAGGCCTCCCCTTCTGGGTGGACTTTGGGTGAGTAAGAAGTTGAGGTGGCCACATATGCATATACACATATGGTCTTCCCATCTCCTCTTCCTCTGGGTTACGGGGGAAACTGATTCTCCTTACCTTGGGCTGAGCTGAGACTGGTCAGTGGGTGGCTGGTGAACAGCCTATCTAACCCCCCCATTTCCTCCACCATCCCAGAAGGCCAGGCAAGGGTGGCTCCTCCACCCACTCCCACCCATGTCCAATGACCATCTGGCCCAGCCCCCTGATCGGGCCGCTCCTGGCTCAGGCATCCCCTCTCACCTCTCCCAGATTGGGCCAGATATATCTGGGTCAGCATAAAAGTAGCAGGTGGGGTTCCTGAGCACCCCACCAGCCTCAGTGCCCCCCAAATATGGGTACCCCATGTCTGAATTAACTGACATGCAGGGCCTGGGAGGGGCACCTGAGCAGACATCACTTTTCCCCAGATGTCTTGATAAAAGAGACTGAGGCACTCCAAAACAGGGGCACCTCCCTTTAAATATGGAGGGATTAAACAATTCCCAGACAAGCAACCAAAACAGAGGCACCCCCACACCTGTCTGAATTAACTTTCAGCTTATGGAGGTTCCACCTGGAACCATGACACCTCCATTCTGGCGGACTGGACCTTCAAGGCCTGGGTCTTGCGCAGGTGGCCAAGCCCTGGCCTCAGGCACTGACATGAAGACCTCTTTCAGGTGGATTTGGGAAGACGCTCCTGCCACCTGTCTCCAGATGCACATGGGATGCCTTTTGGGTGAGGGGCAGGGATCCCCCCATAGGCACTGTTCCCCCTGGCACAGCGCCCTGTGAAAGTGAGCATCTGGAAGCCACACCCGCTGCCCTTCCCACCCTGCGACCTGCTGAAGCTGAGCCTTCAGGAAAATCAGAGAAAGAGTTTTGCGCTGGGCATGGAGGAAGGAGGGCACCCTGGAAGCTGCTGTCTGCCCCCCTGTTGCCCCATGGTCAGAAGACACTCCTCACCTGGCTCATAGTAAGTGCTCAATAAAATGAGCTGTTGTATCTGGGCTGGACACTTAAGTGCACAATTTCATTTTACCCTTACAAAAACCTTGGGAGGAATGTTCTATTAGTATCCCCATTATACAGATAGGGAAACCGAGGCGTAGTGGACCCAGCCAGTTTGGTTTCAAGCATGCGTTTTTATGCTCAACTGACACTTTCCACCTCCCCCTCTTCCCCTGGGAACCCGAAGCTGGCCTGGGGTGTTCCAGTCCTGGGGTGGGGCTGAGGATGGGGCCACTTACCGGCAAGGATGGAGCTGGCCGGCTGGACAGAGTGGACGGGGGAGGGACCAACTGGAGACAGTCTATATGGACAGACTCGATAGGCAGTCCATGAACAGCTGGAGGGTTGATGGATTGGTAAACTGTCTTCTGTACTGTGCCAGGGGTTACAGCCTGGGCTTTATTCCCCTGGTGCCTCTGGGCAGCCAATGGGGCCCCAGGACCAGCCACTCCTCCACCCAGACCCGCCCCCTGGCCTCTGGCCACTGGGGGCTTCCAGCAGGGGATGGGGAAGCTGGCTGCCTTCTTCCTCTGGCAGCTTCCTGGGGTCTCTTTCCAAGTCCCTCCCCTTCCCCACTGGTATCCTTCCCATCCTCAGCTTCTTCACTTGCAAATGGGGACAACACCTGCGACCAAAGGGCTATTGGGACGCTTGCAGGGAGAGGGCTGGAGGGAGGGAACTTAAAGTCTCTGTAAACACCCAAGTAACAAGCCAGTGGAGGAAGTGGGTACTATCATTATCACCATTTACAGAAAGGGAAGCTGAGGCGGACAGACAGTGGGAAGGATGAGCTGGCATTTGAACCCAGCAGTCTGCCTCCCAAGTCTGCAATCAACCCACAGTTCTTTACTACTTTCCCTGGCCATTCTTTATGACTTATCATAAAGGGGCAGATGGCACTGTGGGTAAGACCCAGGTGCGGGAGGGTTCAAACCCTGGATCTGTCATGAACTAGCTGTGCCGCCCTGGGCCTCCTAGAGCCTCTCTTTGCTCATGTGTTAAGTGGGGGTGATAATGACGCCTTCCTCCTAGGACTGGATGACAGGATAATGAATGTATGTTCAGGGCCGGGAAATTGAGTGAGTGTCAGTGTTCATGGCCATCATCAGCATCAGCATCCTCATCATCACAGAACTGGAAGTTCTTGCATCTGAACTCACTCCTGGCCCCATGCTCTGTCTGTCCTTGGCCGTGTGCAGGGGTCTGTGCACACACACACACACCCTGGCCCAGCCAGCTCTCACCCTTGCCCCCTCAACAAAGCTCTCTTGTCTGGCTGGCTGGGTGGAGAATATCAATTAGACAGATGGCAGTGAGGGCACAAACGGCCCACACAGCCGTCCTTCTCTGTGGGACAAGCTGTCCCCTCTTGCTGGCCCTCTGATCTTCCACAGGCACCCCCAAGCCCCTTACCCACCCAGGGGGAATTTCACAGGCATGCTTGGGGATACAGGGTGGCAGAGCTGGAATGAAGTGGGCATCCACGAAGCCTCCCTGTGTGCATTTGAGTGCATACAGCTGGCATATTGCCCAAGTGTCTCATGCCAAGTGCTTCTCATGTTTCACTTAACCCTCAACCAACCAAGTGAGTGGGCATTTTGAGTCCCATGTCAAAGATGAAGAAATGGGCTCAAAGGTGGAGTAACATTGCCCAAGACTGGCCAGGTGACAGCGATGGGAGGCAACCTCAGGATTTCTGAGTTCTTTGTGGACACAGGGCTGATGGAGAGGTGGGGGTCAGGGAGGGACATCTGGCCCAGCCTGTTCCCATTCAGAGGTCCCAGATTTAGGCTTTCGATGCGGTCTCCACATGAGGTCACACACGCAGCCAGGGAGCTGGCCCTAAAGGAAGACAGCTAGCCAATGATGGATTACTCTCCACTCCAAGGCAGCAGCGCTGTGGTTGGGGGGTAGGGAACTGCAAGCAGTGGCAACAAGATGATTTTTCTGTAGACCTCTCGGTACTGTTTCATTTGTTTCAACAAAAATGTATCACTGTGGTGATTTGAAAAACATCAACTCAAGATTCAATCATATATAAGAACCAAAAAGAGGGGAAAAGACAAAAATGAATACCACTGTTGTTGACACCCTGTCTGGACATATCCTTTTTAAAATAATAACTTTATTCAGATCTAATTCACATATCCTAAAATTTACCCATTTGCAGAGTATCAGTTTTAGACCATTTTCGTCACACCCAGTAGAAAGCCTGCACCATTGACAGTCACTCCTCTTTTACCCCTTCCTCTAGGCCCTGGCAACCACCAGTCAGCTTTCTGTCACTGTGGATTTATTCCTTCTGGACACTTCATGAAAGTGTAGTCATATGCCGTGTGGCCTTTCGTGTCTGGCTTCTTTCACTTGGCGCCATGTTTTTAAGGTTCATCCACATTGTAGCAAAAGGTCAGTAGATTATTCCTTTTGATGTCTGAATAGTATTCCATTGTATGGATAGACCACCATTTTATTATCCACTTGTAGTTGATGGACCTTTGCTGTCTGTGTGTTTGCTGCCTCATTTTGTTTTTTCAAACAGCTTTATTGAGATATAATTCAAATACCGTACAAGTCACATTTTAAAAAAATTAAAGTATTGTTAATATACAATCTTACAGTGGTTTCAAATGTACATCACAGTGGTTCAACAGTTACACTGTGGTCAAGTTATACTGTGATTGAGAATTATTGTGCCCCTTTACCCCTGTCTC